GCTACAAAGACCTGTCCTAGGCTCTTCGTGGAATATTGAGCTCTACTAACTAGTTTCCGTCTTGATAAATGATCCGTTACTAAAAGTACAAACCTTCGACATACCGAGGTATCTTTCTACAGTGAGTTTGCGCGGGTGGAAGAAATTGTGGCAAACAATTTTGGCTCAACACAAAAAGGCTGAGGTATTTTAAAAATAGAAAGAACAATGATAGCCTTGAAATTCCAAAACGAGGGAATTGATATAACGCGTTGAGATAAGACTATGAATCGGGGAATGATTGTTGAAGATTGACTGCCGACTGCAGGGTAGGAGGTTCATGGTCAAACTCCAATTCTAGGCGGCATGTTTTGAAGACGGTTCTTTCGATAGGGCAATTGCACGCTTTCGTGTAACTAATTCAACAATATTATTCATAATCTATCAAGCGCTGTGCCAGTACCTCATTCGAACAGCAATAAAAAATAAGCTAAAGGATTACGAATTAATGGTCAATAAAACAAGATGGAAACGTTCCGATCTAGTAAAAATGCGGTGCGCGACTAAATTGCTTCAACTGTGCGGAAAAAATACTGCTGTGCTGTTGATGTAAGCTGACAAAACCAAAGAGATTTAACAAAGTTCTTGGCGAAGGACAAGTGAGCAAAATACACACAAAAAAGCTTTCGCGAGCCCCATCGAAGGAGCCAGGGACGCTGCCACTCATTTATTTTGTGGTGCGAGCGGGAGCTAACGGCCTGTCTTTCACAACTCTTTCCGGCTAGGGAGGCATTTAAGAGCTCTTTCCAGGAACCGGGACAGAGCGGCAACATGACGCTTCGGTCCCCGTCTCGGACTCACCAGTTATTGGCAACGCAACGCTAAATATTACTGTAAATACTACCCACTTTATTTGGGTAGTCTTCGATATTATGGAAATAAACATTGGCAAATGGAGCCTCAAAGAAAGTAAGAACAATAAAAGTTATTACGTAGTATTACTATATGGCTGCATCACATCACAAATAGTTCGGTATCTGGTAAATACTAACATGCAACTACTACAATGGGCACAGAACAAAATGTGCTGAAAATAAAAGTTTTGAATTGCGACATGTCCACAGTGCACGTAGGTACCTAATGATTACACAGTAGGTGAGGGTTGTAATTTTAACGCTGAGGACACTGGAAGCATGTCAAATGTCGACAACGTCCATGTATCCTAGCCATACGACCGCTAGATCCCAGATATCGTATAATTTGCTGTTTCAGGTGGTTCATGGACCAGCAGTTATAATGATGTTGAAACCAGCTAGTGCAATGCGTCGGTTGCAACTGGTTGTCGCGATGCCAAGCAATAAATCATTAGCAAATGGCTCTCATGAGGTTTGCAATTACGATGGCCGTCCAAAGAAGGTGTTGATGAATGCATTAACAGTCTTTCCCGAAACGGGTGGGAGTTTGTAGCTCGGCGCGTTACAAGCCCTGTAGCGTAATACGGGCCCGCTGATGCTGCAATAACATCATTCCGCAGAGTTTCAGCTTTCACCCATGATTGAGTGGGCTTAGAGTCCTCAGAACGTAAAAAATGCGTGGTGAGGCATGGTTTTGTTGTGTAGTAACGGCTCTCCCACTCGGTGACATCAAAGTAAATGTTCTGCAATAACAACGCTTCGTTATAAATACAAAAAAGAAACGTTTATTCTGTTACTCTCCTCGGCCGAGAGGGGAGGGTGCCGCACCCAAAGGCGATTTTATAGCGATTGTTCGGGACGCGATATCGATAGTGAGATGAGATGACTGATGAATGCTGGCCCATTCAATCCTCGCTTCGTGCAAGATCGGAGTTCTATAGCCTTGGCAAGATCTTGAAACACCAAACGCATTTTCAGGTCAGGTTAGGTAAATGACCTATGGCGTTGCAAAATAACCTCTACACTGTCATAAAATGTCCCAACTACGCAACATCCTCCCTCAGTGCCAGGAGATCTTTCACAGGGAGATGAAACTTATATGGCTTATCTAAATCTTAACATCTTGCTTATCTTGAAATTTTCCTTAGAGTTACCTGAGGCCAGGTCGGTCATGTCACCTCACCACTATAAGTGAATGGGAAATAGGTATTGATTTTTTGTTGCCTATGCCTGAAATTATCGAAGACTATCTCAAGCACATGGAGGCACGAATTCATGCACTCCTTGCAAGGGCTGACGCTTCACTTTTGCATCGATGGCCTTGCGTGACGTCATTTATGACGTCATTTATGACGTCATTAAGGTCATACATGTTTTTCGTCAACAACTCCCGGTCAAATAGAGCTAGCGCATCGGGAAAGGCAACAATGGACTAGGGAAGACCTGCCAAATTGAATGATATGCAATATGACCTCATTCGAACACTTCGTGGCATAAGTGGCTCTGATCTGACCTTGACCCAGGGTCAACCGTGACAACTTAACCCTTGCCGGCACAGGGGGGGGTTGATGTAACCCCCCAAGGTTTTTCACGAGTAACTCGGGTAAAAAGCGGCCGGTCGCGACGAAACTTTCAGTACCCGGCCTCGCATTGATCAATTTTACACCTATCATGAAAATTTCATGACCCTGAACCAAATGACCTTTGACCAGGGTTGTGCTTGACTCATGAGTCGAGTAAGAAATTTGACTCAACTCTGACTCAAATGAGTCAGGTTTGAGTCGAGTCGGATAAAATGTTTAGCTGTCGAGTTGAGTCAGAGTTGAGTCGGACAACAATATTAACCCTCGCCCGCACATGGGCGAGGGTGGTTGCCACCCCCCCCCCCCCAGGTAGTCTTTCTGCTCTGCACTCAACATTTTTAGTATGCTATAGTTCGTTTTTCGTAAGTTTGCCCCTCACTGTAAACGTCTTTTTGAACACAGCACGAGAATTGCTAGCTGAATTACCTACTGAGAAAACTGGTTGACGCACATTGTATTGTAGATATGAATAATATTTTCAAAATAAATTTTGAACACCGACGATTTAACGTTATGTTAAGCGCCGTGCAATTTATTAGTTCAGACATAATTCCTGAGAAGTCGTGTATCCCTGTGGGGCTGTAGGTATTGGCAAATACGAGCTACGAGTCTGTGAAATAGTAAATAAATTTGGTGAAATTCATCGTCTGTGAAATCTGGTCAAATCCATGTGCGCCAACCAGTTTTCTCAGTAATTCAGCTAGCAATTCTCGTGCTGTGTTTAACAACACATTTACAGTCAGGGGCAAACTTAAGAAAAACAAACTTAAACTATAATATCTTAACGTTGCCAGTATCATATGATGGCTAATAGCCAATGGGAGACCAGTGCTGCTGTGCTATTGTTTGCCTGTAGGGCTGGGTCGCAGTACTTAAGCCAAACACTTCTTCTCAACAGTAAACACTACAGAATCAGCACAAAATAATATTACATGAAAAAACTGGATAATTTGTAAAATAGATTTGCAATGGATGGAAAAGGTCTCAGAAGTCTCAGCAACAACACATACAATGAAGATTGAAGACCAAAGTGACAAGGTTCCAAATTCCAATCTTTTAAGCTGATAATATCATTCAATTATAGATGAAATATATTTGATACTGAAAATGAAATTGAAATGAAGCTTGAGCTCAAGCCTCAAAATAAAAATTTGTTGCTTTTATGCCAAACCAAGCTTTACTGTTAAGCCTTGGCCAATATTAGAAGAACGAATTCAGCATGCAGAGGCAAAACAAAAATTGTATAACAAATCCATCAAACCTGGGTAAAAAACAAACAAACCAAGGCCATCAAACAAACAATAAAATTATATAAAATTACGCATATCCTACCTCCACAAAACTTTGCGCCGCTCTTGAATCACATGCGCATATTACAGTGCTGCCAGATGGGGAATGCTGTAATCCTCCAGATCAGTTACAAAAATCCTCCAGATTCCTCCAAATCCTATTGGTAGATATAGCAAGGCGGTCTTGGACGCTGCGGGGGGCTCTACCCCCCCAAAAAATTCACCAAATTCTAAAAACCATCGGATTTCGAATCCTTTCGCACTGCTGTGCAGTTTAAAAGATACTTTTTCTTATAAAAGTTGTTTAGTTTTCGTTTTATCCTTCAAAAAGAAACGATCATTTTCGTCGATTTCGGGCGCTGCAGGGGAACCGGGGGCATTTGCCCCAAATGTCCCCCTTAGATCCGCCAGTAGTTTGGTACCCTCGTAGATATAGCTACAGACTGAGACATTCTGCAGTCTCACGGTGATAAAGGACGTGATATATCCTAACGGGTATAGTGACGCTGGGCAGGAAAATGCCTTTTTAGTCTTGAATGTGTTATATTTTTCCATGAAATTGAATATAATCATCGGGCGACAAATCCTCCAGATTTTCCTCCAGATTCAAAAATCCTCCAAAAGCGAAATTTGTCCGCAAATAGAGTTCAAAATCCTCCAGATTTGCGGAAATCCTCCAAATCTGGCAGCACTGGCATATTATGAGACACGGCCTCGAACGATACAAACTACTAAATACAAATGACGGACCAGGGACGCTATATGGAAAGAGCGGCACCTTGGGCATTTATTAGTTATGGCACTAGCGGATCAGATACTTCACATAAATATCCTTCCTGTACAATTTGTTATTTTCATCTGTTGACTACCGATTTTAAATGAGTATCACTCCTCTGTGAGGAAGTGTCCTTTAGCGGGGTCTGCCTTGCGAAGCCCTTTTCCGAAACCGATAAAATAACTGCCGTATCACGACTTTTTCTCGAAACGGTTACCCTCTCTTTGCTATTCCTACAACCCATATAGTGAATGATCGTGCACTGGCACGTGTAAGTCTTCGTCCAACACCTAAACCCGGGCGCTTCCAGTCCCAAACCAAGAGCGTCATCATTTATCGAGGATTCCCAGTGGTGTGGAGCGAGTACTTCAGTTTCATTGCAGTGATTTTCAGGTCATACCTTACCTACTCTATCTGCTATCACCAACATTGCTTATGGGAACACATCAACACTGCCACACTAATAACACGCGTCTTGTATTCATATCAACAACCACGTCAATTCCCACCACTCGTTCTGCTAAAAGTCTCAATCAAATTACAGTTACACATCACGGTACAACAACACCCACTGGCAGCACATCAGTATGCGGCAGCATCTCTAGCACATGTCACCACACACCATCACTAGTTCACGGCACTAGCACTGGCATTAACGGGCACCTCATTTAGTCCGGAGCAGCTTGGCCTCCCTGACAGCTGCCAGCTGCTCATCCTGAGCTTTAATCTCTGCTCGCCGCTCCTCCAGGAAGGCTCCGTACTCCACCGGGTCAAGGTCACGCACCACCTGAGGGCACAAAGGTCAGGTCAGCCCGGTCAGGGGGTATAGGTGCACTGAAGGGACGCGATGATAGGTTAACCCGCGCCCTGCTGGGGGGGGGGGTGTTTGAACACCCCCCCTTGTGGTTTCTCGCGAATATCTCAAAAACGGCGGCGCGGAGCGCCGCCGTTTTTGGTACACCTTATCGTACATCAATTCTACACATGTTGTGAAAATTTCAGACCAAGGTCATTCAAGGTCAGGTCAGCAGGTCACTTGAAGTGACCTCACCTCATAAAAAGTTTCAATGTCTGTCATAGCTACACCGAGTGGCCGATCGCTTTGAAACTTTCAGCGATTGCTAAGAGCAATAGCATGTACAAAATGTATATCTCAGAATTTTGATATCGATGACCTAAGGTCAGGTCAATTTTGCGACCACCCCATTATACAATGTAAGTCAATGGGAGAAAATTGAAATGCCCCTCTTTTGGACAAAAGACATTATAAACACTCCCAAACACCGAATTACAAGTGGTTTAGACACACTGAACATGAAAATGGTGTCCATGACCCTTGTTTATGCCCTGAGGTCATCTTAGGTCACGAATGGTATATAACAGTTTTTCGCAAATAACTTTTGATAGAGGCATGCTAGAGCGATGAAAACGCCTTAGATGTGTTCAGCTCGACGATACCGATCGACTGATATGCAACATGACCCTTTCCGGTCAGGTCATGACCTTGACCTGAGGTCAAATTTTCAAGTTGACCTTTCAAGGTCAACTTATAGTTCATTCGATGCGTCTTGACGAGAGGAACACAATGCCGGTAAAAGTAAGCTCGTACAAGGCTTGGGTCAAAAGTTATTGCAGAAAAACTGTTTCCGAAAAAATCGGCTATTTTTGCAATTTTTGCCCCCTGCAGGCAAAACGTTGACGTTAGGTCAAATCTGAGAGAATTACTCAGAAAGGGCTTTAATAGGGCTATTGAATGCGCTTTTCCGCGGCGCTGTAGCTCTATTGGTTCTCGAGTTATGCGTTGGCTTCTTGGAAATCTTCGACATTCGACCTGGAAATCGGCGAAATTTTGCCTTCAATGACCTCTGGTGACCTGACCTTTGACCTGACCAAAAAATTGACCGAAGTGATTTCGTCATTATTTTTGACGCTCTTTCGAACGCCGCCTTCCGCGTATCGCTACGTGGCCCAGGAGCCGAGTTACAAGGGGGGGTGTTCAAACCCCCCCCCCCCAGCAGGGCGTGGAAATCCAGGACCCCCAGCCGGGCGCGGGTTAAAACGATAAGCAGCAGGCAGGTTGGGCCAGATGTAGCGGTGGTCTGAGCAAGCAGCGCTCAGGTCAGTGAAGAATAAGACGAGCTGCAAGGCCAAATAACTGACCAGCGCAACGATCACAGGCTACGAGCAGATGTGCAGGTGCGGGGCGCACCAGTATCACAGGTCCTTGTTGATCTCACTGCCACCTACTAGCGGAACATCGTACTATCGATTTCGGTAAACACCGGTGATCACCGAACTGCCCACCCGTAGCGAGCGAGTTCTGGATGACATGTCGTCGATGGTAGGTATCATATTTTGCAGCAATCGCTGAACCCAAGCCCAATGCCACTCACCCATCCATTTAAAGTATAGGGATAAAGACAGCTGGCATTAGCTTGACAGTGCAATGTGTTTACTTGTGTGTTTACTTGTTTACTTCACTCAATGCGTCGTAACCGGCCGCTTCTGCGCTTCAACACACACAAAAGTTGTTTGATGAGGTGAAATGATGATGAAAAATTGCATTCTTACCTGAATTCCACAGCTCCGTGCCGTCCGAATAACTAATTTGCAGATTTCTTCTAAATCGACTTCATGAAGAGGAGGATCAGTTGCTTTTATTTTGGCGATTTCGTATATGTGTTTTAACGTTACTTTCCCAGCTATGTCATGACCTGAAACAAAAATGTCGAGTGTTGCTTCACAGTTTCAAACACGGGCACAATTCAATTGATACAATAAAACACCCCCTTGTGTAGATTTCTCTAAACACAAACAAGTGTGCAATTATATGTTCATTATCATCATATGTAACACATTACAAGAGAACCTGTATCTCCAAGTCTATTTACGAACCCAACCAACCACTATCAAGACATATCCATTCTTAGTTGTTTCAATAACCTGAATGCACAAAGACAACTATGCCCTTGGTCTAGCCACCAATACCAGTCACCCCATCCTCTACAAAGTCACCAACACCAGTCACCCAGTCACTCAGCCACTCATAGATTCTGAGGTAGACAGACACTGACCGGGTTTCATGGCGCCGCGCGGCGCTCCGGCCGCCTGTCGCAGCAGGAACGAGGCGGGCGGCTGGTGGATGACCAGCTCGTAGCTGCGGTCGGCGCGCACCGTGATCCGGCACGGCAGCGGCACGCCCGGAGTCATGTCCTTGGTGCGCTCGTTGAAGTCCTTGCAGAACGCGGCGATGTTGATGCCGCGCTGGGAGCGGGAGGGGGCCAGGGGAGGGGTACGGTAAGTGCTGTCACTGGAAACGAGTGAGATAGTTGTTATCCTAGTTACTCCTGTCGTTGATGGTCATTTGTTGGAGTGCTGCGAGCCGCACCCGAGGCCGGCTCTAGGGTTTCATACCAACACTCCGGGAAATCTTCCAGGAGCCGGCAACCAAGATCACGGAGTTTCTCCGAGGAGTGGGGCGCGCCGACCCCCCCCCCCCGTCGACGTGCTCCCGCGGCGGGCCCCCTAGGGGGCCCACGCGTGGCGTGCAAGGAGAGAGAGGGGGAGAGAGAGCCGATGGAAAAGTTGATCGGGGGCGGAACCAGAATAAAGGCTATATAAGCGGTTTGGGACTCTGTGGAGACCCACTCCGTAAAATATTACAAATAGGGTAAATCCAATTCGCTTGAAATATCAGGCCAGAGCCATACCAGTAAATTGTGTCCGGAGCCGGAGAAGGCACATTTTGTCCGGAGTCTGAAACCAAGCCACCGGCACATCTTACATGAGCCGCTGCAGTCCAAAATTTCCATGGCTCTGCAGCTCTGGTGAAGGCAGAATATGAATCTGGTGCTACATCACTGACCTGTCCCAGTTGTGGTCCCAATGGAGGGCCTGCCACTGCACTTCCAGCCTTTATGTTTGTCTTCAGAGTTGGTCCATGCACCACCTTTTCCACAGCCTTCTTGATGTTCTTCAATCTGCTTGCAGCTTTTGACATATTTCTGAGGAATATAAGTTAGAGGTCATACATGTCAAAAAAGAAATCCTATTCAAATATGTGTAATGAAGATCCTTTCATCCAGCCTGAGTAATATATAGGACATAGGTACATGACATAATATCATATTCACCATTATCTGTCATCAGCAGCTAGATTTGCAACACAGAAAAATTAGAACCTGGAAACATTTAATGAAACATTGCAGATAATTTCACCCATGAAAAAGACCTCAAAGGTATGATGCCAGAGGGTATGATACTACCAAGTTGCTACCAAGTCCAAAATATGCATGCCATTGCCAACAAAAGTCATTTTTGCATAATTTTGGAGGCTCTAATTGTATGCTAGAAAAGAGGAAATACCTATGTAACAAAATATTGTCAATACTTTGAATCCAAGAATGGAATGGGCTGAAAATAAATTACTTATATGATGAAAATCATGACAACAATCAGGTAGAACCTGATTTCCATGGAAACATAAATCATATAGGTGCACTGGTCTGGTAAAAGCACAAATGATTCACAGAGGAAGTCTTGTGTATCCAAAATTTGGCATATTTTTATTCGGTGTGAAACCAGTTTTACAGAGCAAAAGGTAAAAATTCAAATAATCCTGTCTAAACAAACCAAGCCTGCCCTTAAACATCAAATCCATAGCAGGCACAATTCAATTTGATTTTTTTTACATTTCCTGTACCGCTGCTATAGCCACTTGCCCATCTCTTACTTCTTAAAAGCAAATAAAAGGTACCTAGTAACACAAGTCAAATAAGGATGTGGAGGTCTTCAGCAGTAAAAGTTGCCTGGAATGCTGCCAGGACAACTTATCCATTGTCCACAAAGCAAGTTTGGCATGTCACACAGCACGAACTAAGGCCAGGGAACTGCCCAGTTCAATTGCCTTTTTATCAGCATGCTCAAGAGCATGCTGCTGGTTTTCCCATATAAGGAGGCTCATTGCTGCTGTTTCTTGGACTGTCATTGGTGCAGGCTCACAGCCTGTTGATATAAAACTGTGAGTCTGTGGCCAAGGCCAACACTGAACAGTGTCCCTGTAAACAGGCTAATGAAAATGAGAATTACTCACTTGAAAATGGAAATCTTTTCAGATTTGCTCTAAAAAAAAAATATTAGGTAATCAGAGGTTTTAGCTTGAAGGTAATACAGTAGAATCTGCTTCATAAACCCATGTTGGTGACATGGCATTTTGAATTCACCGAGCAGTAGCTTGTTAACAGCTCAAGTGGCCACAATTTGGCCACAATAAGCAGCTAGATTTATTATCCAAGCAGATTCCACTGTAGGTAGTCAAACAAATACCTACTTTTCATTTTTTATTTTTATTGGCTGGGTGAATGGATGCAATGCAAATTGCAAATGCAATGAAGCTCAAAACTCAAACTACGAAACCTGACCATACATATAAGAAGTAGGTAATATAGTTTTACTCTAAAAACTTAGCTTAATCTGTTGACCAGAGAATGATAGAAACGAGTGATCCGAGTGATAGTCAAAAACGTGTACCTTGACCTAGATCAATATATTTGTCGAAAATGGAGATCAAGATCCTCCCCTCTCCAGTTTACACTCCACACACGACCAAGCACACGACTGCGTTCTTATGATTTGTGTTCTTCCATGCTTCTAAATGTCTGCAATCGCAGAAAATTGCGAGCTACTGCCAATCACTTTAAAGGCTTTAGCCAAGATTCAGCAAAAGCTTTAAGAAGAGAACACTACATGCCATCCTCCATAACCACTAGTTCTATCAAGCATCCAATACGTCATAAAAACCGGATATTTTGATTTTATTTTTTAAACGAATGGTACAAATCCGGTTTGAAAAAGATATCTGAATAGTCATCAAAATACAAACAGAAATAAATACATAGATGCATAGATACCTGGCGACGAATAACGATACCTTTGCCTAAACCCGTTTAATCTAGTGACGTAATCAAACTGACCATTATTGCATACGGAAAAATATCACTCAATTTGCAGAAGCTTGGAGTGCTTGGGTTTAGGAGGAAAAGTTTATTTTATTTCATTTTCTCCAGTTCCTCATAATTTACTTGAGTGACATTCCCTTGCATATTGATATTGTTTTTCAGTCTGGTAAATGCACATATTTTTATGTCATATGTGAATGTTAAACGTTGGGATTAGGGGATAGGTAGGTGATAGGGGATTCAAGCTCTTGTCTGCGAGTACCTACTTTAAAGTGACCATCCCACCTTAACATTAGTTTTGAGTTGAGACAGTCAAAATGGGGTCCCTGGCTTGCACTTACCGGTTTGAGCACTGTGACTCGCAGGGCTGCGGAGTCGGAGTTGGAGTCTGTCGGAGTCGACAGTTCTGCTCGGAGTCGGAGTCGCCAAAATCTTACCGACTCTGACTCCGGAGTCTGAGTTAACGCTGCATGTTTCCACGTCATGCACTGCACCTGTCTGATTGACGATATTGCGCGCGAAATGAGATTTTGTCCAAAAAAGGCCATGTTGCTGTTTTGGACGGACGTTTTCAGCGAAAGAAGCGAAAGACTGTGAATTCCCCAGAACCTTTGCTTTTTAATTCTGCAGGTTATTTGTAACGCATATTTGCAACACAAAGTCTTGGAACGTGCAAGGGATTGTTTCAGGCAAGATAAAAACGTCTCCATTATGAAGATGTGGATTTTAATAGAACCGTCCGGAGTCGGAGTTGGAGTCGGAGTCTAAGTTGATTTTTGAAACCAGAGTCGGAGTCTGAGTCACCCTAAAATCCATCAACTCTGCAGCCCTGCCGACTCACAAGATTGAGAAATGCCTCAACTCGAAAATATCTAATTTCAAAGCTGTAGCACTTCAATTCAGAGCGGCTAATGCATTAGAATCAGGGATGCAGAGCCGTAGAAATTTCAGACAGCTTCGGTCCGACTCCGGCTTCGGAGAAAAAAATCAGCTCCGGCTCCGGCTCTGGCCCCGGGTGAAATGTCATGGCGGCTCCGTCTCCGGCTCCGGACAAAAATGTGCCGGCTCCGGCTCCGCACTCCTGATTAGAATTCCCCCTCTGAATGTGTGACGTCAGCGCAGATCTAAATAGGTATTTTAAATATTTTACTAAAACGTTTGGTAGAAATCGAATGCGGTGGTATATGCTTCTTTGCGCGCATCAAGTGCAGCACTTTCAAATAGTCACTAGAAGTAGTGGAGATCCGAAAAGTAAACAAAAGTAAAAAGTATTATCTTGAAAACCTGTGAATATTTCTCCATGAAATTTGGTAGATATTCGTTTTCGCTCTTTCTGAACCGAGCGACATCACTTTTATGCCAATTCATTAACTTTTTAGAAGGTGGGAGGGTCCCTTTGAGGCTAGTGACATCAGGGCCTCCTCTAAGGAATTTTCACTGGGGGGGGGGGGGGGGCAGAGGTTCAGAAGCCAAACCTAGGGTACCCCCGAATCCGTTTTTCTCATCGGATTTAGGCCACTTATTTTTCGTCACAGCCCTGATGCCATGATTTTTATTTTTATTTTGAAAAAATAAATAAAGAAATAGTAGGCCGCCTGACCCTATACCGGTGGATCCAGACCGGCACGGGCACTGGGCAGGGTGACATTTGGGGTAAATATCCCCCGCGCAGCGTCCGAAATCGACGAAAATTTCCGGCTTTCCGAAAATGAAACAAAATGCCTTTATTAAAAAGTATTAAACGGCACAGCAGTGCGTAAGGAATCTAACTGACCGCAGAAAGTGTGAGGGCTTAGGTATCGATTTCCCAAACGCTGCAAAACAGCTACCTGCCTGAAAACAGCTCACCATCCTAAAAAGCTACTTGCCTGAAAATGACTCAAGAAACAGGCCACAGGTCAATGAGAATGAGGGTCAGGGAACAGGGTAATTACATTTTCAGGAAATGTGTAGATTGAAGTGATCACGAGAATACCTACTAAAAGTTTTGCCAGCTGGGCCACTTTTTACGCGCGTTGTTCGCAAAAAAAAACCTAGGGGTGGGGTATATCATACCCCTCAATAAGTGAGAGGGCTTATCGCTGCTAGTCCCAAACACTGGGGAAAAACTTTTATATCGTGCTATAAAGCTCAGCCGCACTCTTATTTGACCGTAGCAAAATTTCTCTTCAAAAATAAACCCGTCTCCCGAAAAAAAACAATACTTCTCCGTGTTAAACCGTAAGCGCTTGACTGATTGAGACTATAGAGGGCGACCGTTCGGCCTGTTTCCTTCTCAAAGTGATGCCCCGTTCGGGCTTCAGTCGGCGTTCGATTGTAAAATCTGCCATGTCTGACCTCATTCCGCGGCTCATCCTAGGCGGATCTGTAAAAAAAACCTGTAGATAAGAAACCAACGATATAAGGAAACTAAAATTAGTAACGTGGTGATCCTGGAGATAGTCTGGATTGTTTGTTTGGTAAGCTTATAGTGAAATTTCCTCGTTTTTCTACGTGATTTGCTTAACTACGTGGCCCCCAGTGACACGATTTCAGCTCCACTGGGGGGGGGGGGGGGCAGCGGCATCACTGGGGGGCCGCGGCCCCCCAGTTAACATGTTAGAGGAGGCCCTGAGTGACATACAACTTTTTTACGAATGCAAGCAAGCTTCCATGATATTGATTATTAGTGTATTGATTCACCAAAATATGTGACCTTCCACAGGTTGGAGGTGTGTCCTGGTTCGGACTGGTGAATGTGGACCATCTTCCGCGTGCTTCTCACTGACAGTGTCCGCCCATGCTCAATACATCCTAAACACCTGCTGGGAGCACTATGTCGCCATCCATCTCCACTACAGCCATGTTGCTCCATCAACCGTGACCATCCAGGTGTAATGTCTGCGCAGCCAGAGGTCAAGGCGGATGTCGCAGAGTCAGGCCATCAATTACTGGCTGTGACACCACCAAGTGCACCGGAACTAACAGGGAACAGGAATTCACCAACAGACAGCAGTGCTAGCCAAGCCATCCAGCAGGGAGAGACTCAGGTGAAGCAATCTGTCACCTCGCCAACCCGAGCTGTCCTGCCCAATCGGGATAGTCCCAAAAGAAAGGCAACGGACGATAGAAGGCCCTGGTCTGTATCCCCGCCAAGGAGTCAGCAGCAAGCAGCACGGGACGAAAGGGGGCCATCTATCGAGCGGACATCGGGTGGCTCCAGCACACCGCTACAGAAGAGTAGTCCCAAGCGGAAACGACAACAGTCGGAATCAGCAGTAGACATTAAGATGTCTGGAAATATGTCACATAAATCCCCGGCCGCTGAAAATCGGGACCGGGAAGCACTCCAGACTGCGGCTATGAAGCTTATGGCAGCGTTGAAAAGAGCGGGGGAACGGTCAAACGCCTCAAGTGAACTGAACGGCGCTCAGAGGACCGGACAGGGGAGTCAGCAAACGGGGCCCAAAATAAGACAACAGGAAATCGGCACACCGGGAACAGCACAGCAACAGCGTGGCGCGGATACGCATCGACTACAGAATGGTGCCCAATCGAAACAGAAACCACAAGGTATGCTTCCCTTCTAGTGTTGAATCAAGTTTTAGATTGATCTTTCAATGGTAATCAATGACGTATTACAGCTCTATCCATCCTGCAATGCCACATATCATCGACATAATTTGTCATTTACATGACATTTGTATTTAATGATGCATTGCGAAAAGACTAATTTATTTTGATTTTATTTCTGGCTGAACCTATGCATACAACGTGTGGTGTCGGAGATAGGCGCTGCTCGTGCTCACGGCTCGCTAGCTGACCGCTAGCTGACTGTTTCCAGTGTCTGGGGAGGAGATGCTGGAGAATGTGAGGATCTGGGAGCCGGTGGCCTCTGCAGGTCGTCCTCCCCGACAACCGCCACCAGGTACGTCCTTTACGTACTGTCAGCGCCTAACTCGGCTCAAAGTATCCCTATCTACGATGAGTAGCCACTCTTGAGCATTAGTAGGAGAAGTTGTAGTCAAACTTGTCGGGGTGGTCTTTCCATCAGTGAATATGGCATGTATTCCACGACCACGAGTGATATACGGGTGATGGGGTATAACAAAGGTAGTACCTATTCCTGTCAGTCATTCAGACTGACCTGGGCGTTATTCTGACACTTATCGCCTTTTATCGTCGCAGGCGCCGGACCTGAGTTCACGATGGTCTCGTACAACGTGCTCTCTCAGCACCTGTACGACCTCCATCCGGAGCTGTACGTGGGCGCTCAGCGCGACCAGACGGACTGGGCGGTGCGCGCGCCGCGACTCTGGGACCAGCTGACCCGGTTCGGCGCCGATGTGAGTGTGCTGCTGCGGCGGGACGGCTGTGGATCATGGGAGGAGGGAGTGAGCGGATGGTGGGGCGTATGAATTTAATGGTTGCATCTCGTGGGAACATTGAATGACAGTTGAATCATGAAAGCTAGTTCTGATTTTACTCAAGTGACTACGGTCACTGCTTTCTTTGTTTTACTATTGTTTATTTGAAGTGCATTTGCGGGTATTTTAAGAGCTGATGTGACTTTACACTATGTCTGCCCTAAGTTTACTCTGTGTCGTCTGCAGTTTTGTGGCAATT